CACCTTAGGTGTATGTGGCTGGCGCCTTAGCCGCTTGAGCCACAGGCGCCGAGCCAACCTCAAAGTCTTGAGAGATTCTCTTGCCTCAGCCTCCCAAGTAGCTGGGACTACAGGCGCCCACCACAATGCCTGGCCATTTTTTGGGTGTAGTGGTCATTATTGTTTGGCAGGCCCAGGCTGGATTTGAACCTGCCAGCTCTGGTGTATGTGGCTGGCACCCTAGCTGCTTGAGCTACAGGAGCAGAGCCAGAATTGTAGGGATTTCATAAGACCAGAGTGGAGGATGGGCTTGTGAGATAGTGAGCTCCCTGTTACTGCAAGTGTGTGAGCAAAGGGTAGATAAACATCTCCAGGAATCCTGTTCACAGAAGCCCTGGATGGGTCCTGGGTCAGCTGCTAAACATGGCTGAGATTGTTTCTGGGACTCTGTGATACTATTAAGTACAGAGCCCTGAGAGGCCCACATAGGGTCTCCTCACCCTTACCTCAGCTCTCCCTATACCTGAGGCCTTTCTGAAACTCCTCTCCACTTCTGAGCAGTTTCCCATTCGATCAGGAGATGTAGAGACTGGTTAAGTCAAGTCCTCTTCTCATTCGCCTGTCCTGACCCTGCCCTGACCCTGCCCATCGACAGAACTTGGAGCCATTTCTGAGGATTCAAGAATAGAAGGGACTGGGTTGGTAGGTGAGTGTAGGGCAGTTTCACCCTGTAGTTAATGTGAAAAGGACCTGGCTTGGAATTCAAAAGGATTCCTGAGTGGGAGCTGGAATGTGAACCTCTGCTGAGATTCAACCCAACACACTCTCCCTGCAGCCCACCTGAGAGAACTGGGCTCCATCAGGCCAGACTGAGAGCAGGAAATGGGGGACACAGGACTGGCATCCAGCCCCAGCTCAAGCCACTGATTAACTTTATGGCCTAAGGCAAGTCACTTCACTTCACCACGTTCCTCCTCCTCTGTACTGTGGGGATAACATCCTGCCTGCCCAGTGAGGCCTGAAAGATAAATGGTCTGCCTGGCCCTATGGAAAGCCCACTGTGTTCATACCCTTGGAAAGTGCTATTATTACATAGGGGTGGGCTTAGGGCAGGCCACTGCTGGTCTGACCTGAAATGTCACTCCCAGACAGGAAGCTGCATCCTGTCCTTTCCTGAGGGCAGCCCAAGTTTGGGGAGGACCTGTTTCTAAAGAGAACCAAGCCCTCAGCAAACATTCACTGATGCTGGTGATGAAAACTGATTCCATCTGTGCACCACACCCTGATGGCAGGGCAGGCTCAGACACAGGGGCAGCAGTTGCCCTCCCAGGCATCACTCCCACCCACCCCTTCCTGCCAGGAAAACTGACCACTCCTGCCCCACCTTCCCCATGAGAGGAAAATTCCTGCGGTAGACCTCATGGGTCAGAGGCAGTGGCCAGGGGAGGGGACAGGGAAGGTTGGGGGCTACCCTGGCTGGAAGCCAACTCCTGGAACACATCTCTTAGACTCACTCCCCCAAGTACTATAAATGTGCTCACTGGGACAATTATGGCTTGCTCTAGGGGGACCCCTGGGGTTCAGACAAGGATGTTGCAGTCTAAAGAATAACTGGCTTCGTGAACTGGTCAGCAATGGCACAGCAATAAGCCTGAGGTTGGGGGGAATGAGCTGTTGTGACTTGTTGGATTTTTCCCCAGTAACAGTGAGTTGTTACCACAATGTGAGAGTCTTATCGCTTTCCAAAGTGGTGTCCTGTTTATTGTCCTTTTGGCCATCTCTCCCACCAGCTAACTAAGCCTATTTGGGGTAATAGAAAGTGGACAAGTCAGGACCAGACCTTAGGTCTCTTGACTCAAACCGGCCTCTGGCTACCCCATGACAGTTTTTCCATTAGTAAGAAGGAGACTGCACAGATGCCTAAGGCACAAGCATGGCCAGGGGCCCCTAGGCCTGGTCCTGGCATGAATATACTCACCCCCATCTCAGCAGAGAGACGCTCTCCTCTAACTGTGGAGTCCACAAAGAGTAGCAGGTAAGGCAGAATTGAGCTGCCTGGGTAGGCTGCAGAGAGGATATAATAGCATTTCTCTACCACAGTGTGGAAAAAAGTACAATGAATCCAGCCGATAGATCTTCTGATCCAGAGATCAAAGGATGTGGAAGGGAGGAGGATTTGGTGCCTGATCCAGGACTACGGAACTGCCCCCTTGAACCCTGCAGGCCCTGTTTGGAGAGCTTCTCCCTCAACCTTTTGTGGCTGATCCACACTGCCCATTTCACTGAGAAAGTAACACTCAAGGTCAGGGGGTCTGGAAGCTGGTAAATCTAATCCCAGGAAATGGGGCCCGGACAAAAGGAGGGGGAGGGACCAAGGGGGGTGAGCTCTGGCCTGTCTACTTGGTGAGGAGGACAGTCTGCTTGCTCCATAGGACAGGAGCTAGAGCACAATGACCAGAAACAGACTCTTCCCTAAGTCTTAGACAAAGCCCACTGTCATTCCTTACCTAGGCCCTGAGTGGCTTATCACAGAGGCTGGATTTCCTTAGATTAACTGCATAGGTGGTTGAGTCAGAAATAGTCTTGGAGGAATGTAGGCCATCATGAGGAAGAAGAAAGAGGCAGCCTCAGGACGGAGAGAGGGAGCTCCTGCCACAGAACTACACAGAGGTGGGTGCCCAGGCACAGCCCTGTCAGACCCTGGGCTTCTAAAGCAGATGCTCTAATTTGATAGCTATGTCAGGGCCCCACCTTTGCAGCAGGGGAGTCCCACAGTCCTTCCTTGGGGATAGTTCTCTGGGAAAGATACATTTTGTAAGTCAGATTATCTAGTTACACATTATGTTGTTTTTTCCTTTTGCTATAATCCTGGGCTTTTAGGAAAGTCCTCTTTAAAGGTTTGGCCTTGATTCAACAGTGCTGGGGGCAGCTAAGGAGCCAGGGCCTGCTTTTGGGCCCAGGTGTTAAAGGAGAGCAGTGGCCCCTGGGGCGTGCCCAGAGGGTGGAGAATCAGTGCAGTGTTCCAAAGGAGAAAATGCTTGGCTAGTGGCCCCCACCCCATGTTCCCGGCCTATTGCTAACCTCAGAGGGTCAAGGTTCTATCCCATTAAGGCAGTGCTCCTCATAGGTCTTCCTTTTGCATCTAGGATTCCAGCCATCCTGTCACTTTGCTTCAACAGAGCATCCATCCCTGGCCACTTTAAGTTCTGGGGCAGGTCTTCTTGGAAGCGAGAAGGAAACGATCATTGGCAAAAACCACATGGCTGGTCTGAAGGCAGTATCTCACTTGATTGTTCAGTCAGTTACAGACTGAACTCCTCGTTCTTCTCTTTTCCCCCTTCTTAGACTGCACTTAACTAGTCTTAAAAAGCAAAACAAAACAAACCCCCCAAAACCCACAAGCACCCCAAATTTCCCAGGAGAAGCCCCTACCTCTACTGGGGCTGCTTTACACCCAATCCAGAGGCATAGCAGAAAAGATTTCATAAAATAATTATCATTCACTGAGCCAGAATTTAAAAATAATTATATTAATAATAAATATGTTAAATTACATTTAAAACAATAAATAGAAAAATAAACTGATAAATAAAATCAACAGGTACAAAATGTTTCAAAATTCCAAACAAAAAAAAACACAGACATCCAATAGACGAGACAAATGGACAGGACAGAGGATGCTAAATGCAATCCTGGGAACCCTTCACAGTTTACGTCATGGCTCCCTCTTCGCCTGGTCACCCTCTTCTCTCCTCAGCTCAGAGACCAGGAGACTCAGTGACTGATATCTTTGGGGATGCCAACCAGGGTAAGGAAGCATCTGGTCCCACCTCAATGCCTTCTGCAAAGCAACCCTGAACCCTGGGGAGGGTGGGTTCAGAGGACAGGAGTGTGAGGCAGAGGCTAGACACGGTGGGGTAGAGGGTGGTGAGGACCAGGATATCCCTACAGAGGCAGGTCAGTGCTGTTGTGCCGGGTTTTCCTGGCAGTGCCATCATCTCGGGGCAGAGCCCTCTGCAGGTTAGACATGGCCACGGTCTTTTTGAGGTCAATCACGGCGTAGGAGTCTGAGCTGCGGGCAGGGTGGGTGGTGGGCGCTTGGGGGCCCGAGGGGTTCTGGGGCCCCTTGGGTCGGTCTCCACCCCAGCCCTTTAGCTCCACCTGGATGTAGTTGAGCTGCCTTGGGGGCTCGGGGCCCGGCCGGCGGAAATCAAAGTTGAAGACCCTAGGGGAGCCCCGGCGGCGGGTCAGTGGCACAGGGAAGCTGCCATGGCTGCGGACAGAGGCCCGGGTGCTGGTAGGCTTCTGCAGTGGGGTCTCGTCTTCCTCACCATCAGGGAAGCCATTGGAGGAGGGTGTGAGCCCATCCCTTGAGTCCCCATCATCCCCGGCCTCCCCTCCCAGCTGCTGGGCATGACTTTCCCACACAGGGGGCAGAGGGGGAAGGTTCTCATAGTGCAGCAGGGCAGCCCGGCGCTGAGCAAGGCCATTCCAGCCTGGCTCCTCTGGGCTCAGTCTCCAGCTGGCCCCTCGCCGCAACCCCCCGCTGACGTTCTCATATGTGCACTTGGGCTGGGCTGGGCACTCGGAAGGGCTCTCATTGTTATTGTTGTGGTGGGCAGGGTCATGCAGGCTGGGACAGAAGCCCTGGCACTTCATCATGTGCCGCCGAGCAGGGGTTGGGCCCAACACGAACTTCACCTGGCCTGGTTGCAAGAACACCTGTGGGTCCCGTTGGTCGGGGACCTGGGCCTGAGGGGGAAAGGGTGCCTGCCCCTCAGGCAGTGGCTGCAGGCAGTGCCGGCTCCTGCGGTGGTCATCCTCACTGGCCGGTGTGTTGACATAGGTGTGGGACTGCAGGGAAAGAGTCCAAGTGAAGCAGGAGGGTCCCAGGGCAGGGAGAAGGAGAGAGCAGAAGGGACAGATTGAGAGAAACACAGGGAAAAGGGCTGGAGTTTCTTCTTCTCCGCCCTCCAACCTTGCTGGGAAGCTGCCTCCCTTTCTGGAGACAGGAAGGGACCCTATCCATTTACTTCTCCTTCTCATGTTCCTTAATGGGAGAAGGCAGCCTCCTTATCCCCCATCACCACCCGGACAAACAGGGCAGGGGCTGGCCTGCTGTATGCTCACCTGCTCATCAGGGGCAATAAGGGCGTGGGTGGACTCTTCCCCAAGCGAGGGGTGTCGTAGGCTGCTTGTGGAGAGCCGCCGGGAGGCTGAGAATTGTGGGCCCTCTCCAGGGCAGCCATTGGAGAAGCTGGAGACAGTGTAGCCTAGAGCTGGGCACAGGCGAGACAAGGCCAGGTGAGGGTACTTAAGCCACCTGACAACTACCTGCAGCTATGTGTGTGGTGTCCTAGGACTGTCCAATGAAGGGGAGATGTTCTGCAGGTCCCCCATGGTGGTAAGTGCCACTGAGATAGCAGCCCCCATTATTCCTCTTTCTTTTACAGTCTGCTTTTCAGACTGTATCCTTCCCCTCAAAACTCAGTGTGCCTCCCACCTCCCCACTTACAGCCTTACCTGAAACACCTAAAACATGCCTTGTCACCGCTGGGCCATCCCTTTGCCTCATTCTAGCTCTGACAGTGAGCTTCAGGGAAGCTCATCAAAAACAGGGACTGTGTTTCTATTTCTTCTGTCCCCACAGGCCAACCCAGGGAGGGCAGCACACTGAGCAGGTGCCTAACCTGGACTCAGTGACTAAACAAGTAGAAGCTGCAGGAACCTTTCCAGAATATGGTCATGGCCAGAGATGCCTGCATCAGCAGCCAGGAAAGGTGAAGAGATATGACCCACTAGACACAGGAAGGAGGCAAAAAAGCTCCAGACTACGGTTTCTATGGAAACCCAGTGTCTTCTTGTCTGCTCCTAGACCATCAGTTGAGACAAGGCCCAGGATTCGACAGCCTGCACTTGAGTCACTTGATTGGCCCAGCCCAGGACTTATGCATGTTCAAGAATGGTTCTGATTGTGGACAACTGTCATGGAAGGCTGAGTGAGCGAGCACACCCTTATCTACTCCACCTCGTCCCGTGACTCATGCTTCCCGGGTCTGTGTTTGTGGGTGTGCATGCACATGGGCACGTTGGGATCCTGAAGATGGGGTCTCCTCACCGTTGGGTGGCTGGGAGGCCCGAGGGAAGTCAAGCTCAGCAGGGTGGCTATTGCGGGTGATGATGACTGGCTCTTCCATCACATTGATGCTGTTGCACTGCATCAGATCCTGAAGGAGGTTGAAGATTTCCTCAGCTCGGGAGCACTTGAATGCAAATATTCCTGGAGGAGAGAAAAAAATGAGACTTCTCTGACCCTGGACTCATCCGGAAGGACCAGAGGTGCTTGAAAGGCACATGGAGTGTGGGAAATGTCCCTGAACTCCAGCCCCAGGCCTGCAAGAGCAGAAGAGCCTCCCCTCATCCTGGGCATTCTTTCCAGAATCATTTCTCTAAAATCTAAGCACTGGAGGAGCTGGGCCCACAGTCCCCTGCCTCCACGCACACACAATCCATTACCATGGTTTTTTTTTCTTTTTTAATAAGAAATGGAGTCTGGCTCTATCACCCAGGCTGGAGTGCAATGGAGTATTCAGCTCACTGCAACCTCGAACTTCTGGATTCAAACAATCCTCCCACCTCAGCTTCCTGAGTAGCTGGAACTAACGGTGCACACCATCACTCCTGGCTAATTTTTTATTTCATTACAGATGAGTCTCACTATGTTACCCAGACTGGTCTCAAACAATCCTCTGCCTCAGCCTTCTGAGTCGCTGGGATTATAATTGTGAGTCATCACACTTTGTACCATTATCTTAAGAGTAAATACTTCAGCTATTAGTATTCCTCTGAGGTGAAACCATTTCATGAATGTATTCAGGGGTAAGGAAAAGAGACTAAAAACCAAAGTAGAAAAGGATAGTATCAGATGAGCGAACATTCCACCTCATATGTTGCCTCCATCTTCTTCCACCTACCACCTCCTGCTCCCCAGGAAAAGAAGGTCCACTGGGGCACCAGTCCTCAGTTCTATGCCCACTAGCCTCTAAGCTCTCTGAAAGGAGGGTCTGCCCTGTTTACTGGAGATTTAGCCCAGTGCCTGGCCAGAGAGGGAATGTCTACTGTGTATTGGTCCCTGACCTTACAGAGCTTAAATTCTGGTGCAGAAAGAAAGAAAAGATGGGCAGACTAGTTAAAGATAAATACGGCAAGACAATCATGGGGCTCCTCAATGCAGCCAGCATTACAGCCCTTCAAACTCCAGTTGTAATTCAAAGTCTTGGGCACAGGAGAACTGGGCTAAGCACCTGTGATTCAGGGGATCTAGAGATGCTCTCAGGGTATTATGCCTGGGGACTCTGCACCCTCCTCTGCAACAGTGGGACCTGGGACTTGGGGGAATCTACTTGGGGTGTGCATGAGCATACATCCACAACTAAGATAAATACAATTAGGCTAGGAAATGGGACAACTGTGGCTTATAAGAATGGGACGGGAAGGATATAGAGAAGAAAAAGAAGTATTCTCACAAGATACGTTAAGGGTTAGAAAAGACCAGGAAAGCCCGGAGTTTTAGGACCCTGTGTTGGGGCCTAGGGCAGCCCCTCCAGGATCCCAAGCATAGATCAAACATGACCAGGAGCAAGGAAGCCTCTTCCTGCCCTCTCTCTACTCACCCTTATGAGCTCCAAGGATACGTAAGCTACATGGAGGGGAAGGCTCCTCCAGCAAACACAACCTCAGAGATTCACTGTTGTGTTGGCAGCCTCGTCATTCCACCTCTGCACAGTCATAATCCCAAACTGCATTTAACATAATCACATGCAGGATTCCTTTTGCAGAGTTTATGTCTGGATCCTAAAAGATAAACCCAGACCACGCCACTCCTTCAAAGAGCCATGGCTGGCTCTAGCCTTGACCTCAAGTAATAACCCACCACCTGCTCTGACTGTGGTTTGGCATGGGATGGGGGTGAGAAAGGGGGGATGGGGGTGAGAAAGGGAGCATGGGGAGGGAGAATGGGGAGCTGGGGAGCTAGGGAGCTAGGGGAGGGAGAATACATCACACTCCATTGCCCACAGGGGATGGAGGTCAATGATTAACCTCTTGAAGGTTAAAATGTACTTAGGGACCCAAGAGGCCTGCCTCTCTAAATCTCTCCTTCCCAAGCCACTCAGCCCCACAGTATACAGAGTCTCCTACCTGACCTTTCTTTCATTACTCATGGGTCCAAGGTACATCATTTGGGGCCTATTTAGAGGGCAACAGGGCTCCTTGAAACTGGAGTAACAGAGGGAGGGGGAGAATCATGGGCTGTGCAACAAGTGTTCCCACAAAGGGACTGGACTAGAGCTGCAATGACTGAAGAGGAAAAGCACGGACTGGGAATCCACTTAGTTCTGTGACAACATGTCAAGGCCAACAACAACCTGCCCTTGGCCAAGACCCTTCACTTCTCTGGAAAGCACCTGCCACATCTTAGGGCTGGGTCACATGTTAAGGCCCATTCTTGAATTCCACAACAAATTTCCCCATAGTTCCCTAAAGTGCACCGTCCAGCCCCAGTGCCTGTCCCATGTGCATAAGCCCTTATCCCAGAGTAGGGTAGGCCTAGTACTCACCCTGGCCTGTCTGACACCGGCGGCCACTCTCAAAGGAGAAGAGGTTGGAGTCGTAGCCATAGCGCCGCAGGCAGAGGTAGGGCCAGCGGACAGCCTCCCGTCCATGTAGATGCAGCACCAGCTCATTTTGGGTCAGCTCCATCACCCCAGAGCCCAGCTCCACCCCCTCATCATCCACATTTGTAACCTGCAAGGCAGCACAGAAGAGTTAATGAGTGAGTCCAACAAATGTTTGCATGAGTCCTTGAGCCACTGGGAAGTCCGATGTAGGGCTACCGCTGGGGTACCAAGGGTGTCACATGATGCTACCAGATTCTCCTGAGTGACATGTGATTACTAGGGAATACATGGAGCAATGCTATGGACCCACAGCAGTCCTCTGAGCAAACCTTTCCTCTCCAGACCTCAGATTTGTCATTTGGAAAGTGAAAGAAACGGTGGTTTACTTCCAAGGTCACATCTTTAGATGACCTCAGGCAGCCGTGGCTTAGTATTCAAGGACCAGATGTTAATGGGGAAGAGGTTCAATTATAAGACCCTAGGAAAGTTAAGCGCAGGGCCAAACAAGTATATACTACCTCTACCACCTCCCCCACTGGAGGACTTGCTAAGGGCTCCCTCTTTTGGTGGGCAGGAGAAACATGCATCTTGACACCCCCACCCCCAACCAGTGGGAGCAATTGCCCTTTGAGGGAGGTGGTATAAGGGGCACACATAGGTCCACTGGCCCTGTCCTTGGCTTACCAAGAGCAAACAGCAAACACTGGTAGGAGTGTTGACCACGTGCTAAGCACTATTTTAAATACATACACCTTTCTTTCTCTCTTTTCTCTCTCTCTTCAGAGTCTCGTTCTATTGCCCAGGCTAGAGTGCCATAGCATCACAGATCACAGCAACCTCAAGCTCTTGGACTCAAGCAATCTTCATGCCTCAGCCTCCCAGGTATCTGGGACTATAGACACCTACCACAACGCCTAGCTCATTTTTCTATTTTTAGTAGAGACAGGGTCTCTCTTGCTCAGTCTGGTCTTGAACTCCTGAGCTCAAGTGATCCTCCTGCCTCAGCTTCTCAGAGTGCTAGGATTACATATCTGAGCCACAACAGGCCACATAATTAACACATATTTATTCACAAATACAGACCTATTTTTCTCTCCAAAAAAGGTATACATAAAATTATTAAACTATACTGACAGGAGTAAATGCTCTAAAGCACCATTACAGTATTTCTTCATTCTTGGAAGTATTAAGAGCTGCAAAAATGGCAATGGCCTGGGGCTCTTTTCCTCAGGCTGCCACAGAGGGCTCGAGCTAGAGAAGCTTAATCAGCCCACAAACTCGACCTGTCATTTTGCTTTCTACAGAGAGGCTGAGGCAACTCCCAATACATGAGGCCTGAGCTCAAGAGGCCATTTAGGGAACATGGGAGAGGAAGGGGCTTTGAGTACCTTGAACTTGGTGGGGTGGTTGTCTGGGATACTGTCTTTGTTCAGGCAGCTGCAGCAGCTCCCCATGGTGTCAGAGCAGCCAGCTCACCCTAGGGAAAAACATAACGGATAAGCAGGTTACCAAGTCAGTTCCAAAAGCTGTCCTCTGGAGAACTTGGGCAAAAGCACCTCATTGTGATCACCTACTCCATCCAAGAAACTCAATGACACAGACCCTCCCTCAAGGAACTCACATGCTCAATCCAGGGCCAGACCCACATTGGATAAACATTAATTCAAGTTACAGTGTGTTAAGGATTAATGCTGATGGGCAGAGGGGTAGAGAGAGCTTTTCAGAGGTAGTATTTCACGTAGACCTTAATAAGCATATAGGATCCTGACCTATGCAATGGCAGAGAAGGGAGACCCAGCCAGAAAGAAAGCAAGACTACAGAAGCGCAGAAGTGAGCAGCAACAGATGGAGTTAGGTGCTAGGCCAACACCTTCATTTGGATTCAGCAAAGAAACTGTTGCTTAGGAGTCCCAGATACTTTGACCTATACCCTTCTCTCTTCTTCCCTACCCATTCTCACCCACATTCAGAAGACTGGACATTTGAAACAGAGAACAATTTTTATAACCTCAATTGGGTATTTTTTCATTAAAGAAAAAGTGCTGGGATTGTTCCCCTCGAAAGAGACTAGAGGCCTTACTATTTGGCCTTTCCCCTCCAGGATTCTAGTGCTTGGTTTATGTGATACAATAATCAGGCCTGTGTCTAGGATGAAGGGGATACCACTAAGGCTTGAATGACTTAAGGGAACAAGAAACGCATGGACCAGTCCCAACCATGAGTTTTAACAGGTTGCAGCTCACTATAAGAAATGAGTCTGTAGGATTAGCTATCCTTCTGGAACTCCTGCTGAATGTGTAAACAATCCAATGAACTGCACCCAAATTGGGAAACTCCAAAAAACTGACTCCTGCACACAGGTCTTACCTCACCCAGGCCATTGGGGAGCTGACCATGGGAGGGGCATGAGGAAGGATTCCCACTTTATTCTCCCTATCCTTGATGGAGTGTCATGGCAAACAGTCTGCAGAGAAGTCTCCTGGATCCCACTGGGATACACCTGGGGCTCACCTAGCATAGGAGACAGAGATCACTGATTAATGGAAATCTATTCTCACCCCCAACTGTTAATGAAATTGACCTGCTGTCAGTCCATCCTACCTGGTTATCTGTTTCAGGCCCTAAAGAGACAAAAACACCAATGAAGAAAGAGACATCAAGAACAAAGGGACCACAAATCCCAAGCCCCATAAGCCCTGAGGGGGACAGATTAGTGTCACTAAGTTTGAAGTCTGAGATAGCCCAAGACCCTGTCTATTACCTTTAGTAATGAGTCCTAAGTCCTGTTACAATAAATACCAAAAACACCACCTTACCTTTGCAAAGAACTTTAACTGAACAGCCCTCTCTCAAAAGGATACTATGATATAGCGGAAAGAACACTGGTTGAGGATTTAGGAAAACAATATTCTAGTCAGTTTTATTTCTGCTTATGTATCAGGGAGAATGTCAAGTCAATCCCCTACCACCCCTTCCAACTCTCACCCAAAGGTCTTAGTTTTTATTGGAACCATATGTAATCTATGGAGCTTCCAGATTAAGTAACTTCTAGAGGTAGGTATGCAAAACAAACATCACTAAAATGGACATATTCCTCTTCCAGGACATTCAATTTCACATTTGGAAGCTTGATAGGCTTTCTGTTCCCCAAGTTCTCAGAGGCCTAATTTTAAACATAAATGTTAACAATAAGCCAAAATTTCTGGGCATCCTAGCCCAAGGTAGACAAGTCAATAAGCCAGGATTCTGGAGATTCTTGAAATCCCACTCTCCTGTGCTGGAAAACCAGTCTTTCCCAGGGCCCTTTGTACCCTGCTTCCTTGGACAACTTCCAGGTAAAAGGACCTCAAGCCCTTCCTCTGGTTTATTCTCTGGCAGGAAGAAGCAGGCTGAAGGAGGTGTGCACAGACTAAAGGCAGGTCACTGCAAAGAAAATACTGGGGCTTGAGCCAGCAATGGGTGGTTGGGGGATGGTGTGGTGGAATGGATGTAGAACCAAGAACTACAGGGTGCAAGATGGGGGAGGTGTTGCACTTTTCCTATCACCATCTCTTCAAGATACCAGGACATATCAGATAGCTTGTTGAGGGGGCATTACATTGGGCGGGTTAGGGAGGAGGCTCTGCTTTAGGGTAAGTGTGGATTGAGACAGAAGTTAGAGGGGGTTATGGGAACTGAAAATGTATGAGAAGGCTTAGGGCAACACGGGCTAGAATTTTGGATTTGGGCATTTTGAACAGTGCAACGAGAGAACAGGGAAACGATCTGAGAAATTTCAAGGCAGTGGAAGCATTTGTGGGCATCCAGTAGAGAATGATGGGTCTGTGGACGAATTAGGTGATTTGTAGAGTGAGTGAGGGGCTCGCTCTGAGGGCTGCAAAAGATGCGAAGGTATGCCCAGGATGGAGGTGGGAGAGGGTGGGGTTTGGGGAGTTAGAGGCAGATTTAGATATCAGGACTGTCAGGGGAAATTTCTAGACACCCATAAGGAATCAAGAGGTAGGGGTGCGCGTAGTCCCTGGATTCCCGCCCCCAGCCCCGGGGTTCCACCGCCCGCCCGCCCGGGGCTTCCTAGGAAGGAGCGGAGACTGCGGCGCGGCGCGACGCGGCCTCGGTGGAGCCACATCGTCCCCGCCCCGCCGCACCCCGACTCACATCGCCCCGCAGCCCGGGCGGCGCCGGGCCCCGCTCCCGGGTCCCGCTGCAGCAGCCGCCGCCCGCCCGGAGCTAAGGCCTCCCTGTCCCGCCCCACGGGCCGCGGGGTCGAAGGTCACCAGCAGCACCAACGAGACGCTGCGGGCGGGCGGACCCGAACGGGACGACCGGCGCGCAAGCCTAGAAGGTCCCTTTGGAGGACTTTGCAGTTGGGAGCAGGGAGCATGCGCAGACGCCAGAGGGCGCTCCCGGCCAGCGGTCTGGCGGGAGCTGGGCGAAGCTAGGGGCGGGTGCAAGGGACAGGGGCGGGGCGCATAGGCGGGACTGAGAAAACTAGGGACAAGGCGTACCCTGGGGAGCCGAAAGGTGATGGAAAGTAGGGAGAAATACGAATGATACAGGAGAGGGTTGAAGGAACAGAAGGGAGAAGGGCAATACGAGGGAACCCGGGAGAGGGCTGAGGAGTAGGTAAGGAGGCAGGGAGACCACCGGAGGACACGGGAGAGGAAATTGGGGGAAAACCCAGGGAGGGGCGGGGCTAGGAACCAGAGGGAGGGTCTGGGGACCCCGGAATGCGGAGGGAAGGGTCTGTGGGCTCGGCAATGCGTTTCCATTCTGCCATTGGTTGAGAATCTGGCGTAAGCGCGGCTCCTTGTGTCCCCTGGATGCTTGTGGGGGAGCAGTCCTAGCTAAAAGCCGATGTCCTTTCCACCCTGAGATCTCACAGACGCTTTCCTTTAGAATGCAGCTCCAGGCCTCTCCCGGAGCCACCTTTCTCCTTCAGCCCGGGAGAGGCAAGCGGGGCTGCTGGGGGCGTGGGAGAGGAAGGGCCGCCCTATTAGGATGGCCAAAGGCTGGCGCTGAGGATTAGATCCGGTCCGGTCGGTCCAGAACCGCCCAAACTCCAGCGCGCAGCCAAGGCGAGAGCCCAGAAGACTCCCTTCCTTTCCCTTAAACTCCCAACAATCAGACGGGGAACACCAGCGGACTCGGGAACCACACGGTGTCCCCGCCCCAGAGGTGGGTCCCCACCACGTCCTAGATCAGGACCTAGAAAACTTGGGGGATCTGTCGAGAGGGCACTTCGCGGGACCGGGCACTCCTTTTCCTTCTCCCTCCTACTGTCCCGGGGAAATTACCCATCCCTCCACTACCTCCTAGGCCCTCTCTGGCTCTTCCTTTCAGAGTAGAGGTGGGTTGGGGAGATCTAGCTCCTGAGCCCAGTTGCACCTAGATGGAGGTCCCTTATCTTGAGGAGGGAATGAGAGGGGAATTATGGAAGTAATCTGACTTGTTAGTAAGGTGGATTCCAGTGCTCGGTGGAGATGGGAGTTTGGCCACCCTGGGAAGGGTAGAAGGTTGGGGAGAAGAGGGCTGATTTCTGAGTGTTGTTTCTGAGAAATTATTTCTGTGTTTGTGCAAACTAGACCTAACCTGGAAGAAGGTGCAAGTCCCCTTCCAGGGTCCCAGATGCCTCCTCCTTGCTGCCTGAAGCAGGGACAACGCTGTTAGGGAAGTGGCTACTCCTGATTCTGAGTGTGAACAGCCCATCCTGGCCACCTTCCACAGGAAACCTGACCTGAGGGACGGACAGAAGAGGAAGGAAGCAGGTGGGTGTGGAGCCAGGAAGGATGGAAGGGTGGCACAGGACATTTGTAGGAGGTGGGGTGATGAGGGGATCAGGGCTGGGAAGCAATATAACTGTTATGGTCCAAATCCTGGCTCCAGTCCCCAGGCTGGGTCTTAAAGAGGCCAGGGATTTGACGATGGCCCCCCAGTGCCAGCTACTGTCAGAATCCATCCTTGGCCGGGTGTGGTGGCTCACACCTGTAATCCTAGCACTTTGAGAGGCTGAGGCAGGAGGAGCACTTAATTCTAGGAGTTCGACACCAGCCTGGGCAACATAGTAAGATCCCTATCTTTACCAAAAAACAAAATAAAACAAAAAAGAATTTATACCAGCTCTGAGAGGCTACCTCCTCCCAAAGTTTCCCTTAGCCTTCTAGTGTGATCTAATTTACCTCAGTTTGTTTCAACTGGATAATAGATACTAGAATAATAGAAACTACCTGATAGGATTATTGTGAGAACACACTATCTTATAAAAAATTCTAGAGTAGTCCTTGGCACACAGTAAACTAAACATGGAAAAGATGGACTGGTTATTCCCCCATCTGCTGCGAGGTGTATGTATACCTACCATTAGCTCTGCTCCCATTCTACTTGGTTTCATCTCTGCCTTACCCACTAGACTATGAACTCCTTGAGGGCAGGGCTTATCTCTTCTATACATTAGTAATCCTTGTCCCCAAAATACTGTGGTCATACATGTATCAGGACTTGCTGACACTTGCTGAGAGGAAGGCTGAAGAGATGCACTTAGATTATCCAATGAAATTGCTGCTATAAATAGAGGATAGAAGTGTAAGATTTCTATCCTCGAGGAATTTACAGACCTGATGAGGAGCTGAGAGACGCAGAGAGCAAAGAGAGTAACATTAGCTTCTAAATCTTGGAGCACCAATTGCACTTCTGAGGCTCAGAGAAAGGAGAGCTGGTTTGGGCCAGAGATACTGAGAACGGTTTCCTGGTTTCTACAAGCCTGTAGAGCTGGAAAACTGGGCCTATGTAGGGAGTTAGGAGGAAGCAGGCTCACTGGGACAGTGGGTGCACAGTGAGACTAGGTGAGAAGACTCATGAGGTGAGGCGGGAAGGGCCAACCTGCCCAAGGGCTCACCAAAAAGGCAAAGTGCCTTCTCCTTTCACTGTGGGCCCCATTTACCTCCATCTCAATCTTGGGAGACCCCAGAATTTAAACTTCAGAAATGCTGAAGTTAAAAGACCTGTCCTCAAGTCCTGGCTCTGCCACTTATGAGCTGTTCGACTTGGGCGTACCATTTATGCTCACTAATCCTCAGTTTGGCCATATATAAAAAGGGGACAATACCACCTAAGTCACTTGGGTGTTATGGGGATTGAGATAATGCCTGTAAAGCACTTAGCACTGCCTAGCACATTAGAGGGGCTTAATAAATGGAGGTCTTTTTATTGTTTTAGGATAAGACTTTGCCACTAATGTCAGTGCTGAACTCTGGCTGGCCCTACCAGGAGGACAGACCCACCCTTGGGGAGCCAGATCCACCAGCCAACTCAGACAGTGACTTAGGTCACCTGCCAGGGGAAGACCCTGAGGATACCTCCACTCAGGTATTAAGAATCCTGCCTTACTGGGTGGGCTCAGTGGGTAAGGCGCTCACCCCATATACCAAGGGTGGTGGGTTCAAACCTGGCCCCAGCCAGCTAAAACAGCAGTGATAACTGCAACAACAACAACAAAAAATAGCTGGGTGTTATAGTGGGTTCCTGTAGTCCCAGCTACTCAGGAGGCTGAGGCAAGAGAATCGCTTAAGCCCAAGCTATGAACTGTGACGCCATGGCACTCTACCAAGGACTACAGAGTGAGACTCGGTCCCCCCCCCCAAAAAAAATAAAGAATCCTGCCTTTCCTCTGAGCCCAACATAACCTCTTTCTTTCATAACTCCTCTCTTTTCCACCAACCAGGAGGTAGTTTGCCTTTGTGCCTAACGTCTCATGACTCTTTTCTATTTTCAGGAATTCCTATCTCTATATCATCTTAGGACATATAGTTTTGACTTTAAATTCATTCACGTGAATGCACATTACCTCTTCTAGGTGGTCCGTATTTTCAAAGCACACTAGGGGCTATGGCCCCAAGGAATGAAGGGGGTGGTTTGGGGCATAAGAAGGGAAGCTTTTTGGGGTATGATCCTCCCCTCCACCTCCATCAAGGAAGACCCCAGATGTAGGAGTGGATCACTTGTCCTTGCACTCAGAAAGGATCTGGAAGGAGGATTCTCTAAATGGAGGGGCATGCTTAGAAGCTACTCTAGATTAGAGATGTGGCAATGAGGAGGGGGAAAGAAGGGTAAAGGAAAAACATAGCTCCATTTCTCCCTTTTGCCCTGTCTCCTTAGGGTCCTACAGTTCTGAACTTGGGCCCCTCTTTCCTGGACACCAACCAAGCCCTCCAACAGCCTGGACTTCAGACCCTCCTGCAGCAGCTCCCTCCACAGGACAGTGACGTAGGTCTCCCAACTCTATCTTCCCACTTTCCTCTCTCTGTGTCTCTTTACTTACTGTGATAAGAACCTTGTCCAGAAGGCAGGGGGCATATATTTAAGGTTCAGCTATACCACTCTTAGGAGAAATCATTCCCCACCGGCCTGAGTTTTCACATCTACCTAGTAGATGGGCTAGCATCTGTTCTGTTCTGCCCACAATGCTTCATTCAAGAGCAAATGAGAAAATGGAAATGAACGACTTTTGAAACAGATAATGGAATGTACAAATGTAGAGAGTATGGTTGATAAGTATTTATTGAGGCCCTACATGTGTCCAGTTTAAAGGCTTACAGTCCAATTGGGGTGGCAAATGAAATTATCAGAGAAAACACAAGAATGAGAAGTGATACTGAGCTCTAGTTCATTGGGAGCAAAGACCTAAAATTATGGTGACAGGGCTGAGTGTTGTGGGATTGTCAGCACCTGAGTGGTGACTATTTGGGGGGGGAGGCTGAGACTGAGGTGGACTTTTCTTGAATTCCTTTCCCCCTCCCTTCTCAATGCCTTTCCATACTGTTACCTCTTACACCCCCTGAGGTTCTACAACCTCTCTCTGGCCTAGCAGCTAAGCCTTCTTTCTACAACAAACCACAGCCTTGGCTTCTGAGGCTCTCCCAGTCACAATGGAGGCCTGTTTTTGCAGGAACGCTACTGCCTGGCCCTTGGGGAGGAGGAGCTGGCTGAGCTGCGGCTCTTCTCTGCACAGCGAAAGCAGGAGGCGCTGGGACAGGGGGAAGCCCGCTTGATACTTCCCAAGCGTGAAGGACACACCTGTGAGAATGTATGAGTGCTTCCTGACAAACATTCCCTTTATTCTGTTCTTTGCTCTCTCACTTCTGCAGAAAAGGCTAGCTTCTAGGACTCTAGTTGAAAAACAGGGTTTAGGGATTGGTAATTTAACAAACATGAGGAAAAAGAAACCAAGTTTGGGAGCTCTTGATGGAGGCTGCAGTGGGTGTGGGCTTGCCAGGGTATGGGGAGGGCAGGTTAGGTTTGGGGGGAAAGAGCCAGGAGGCAAGCTGAGAAGGTGGTGCAGAGCCTAACCAGCCTGGCGCCCCTGCCCAAGCAGTGCAGGGAGCGGCTGACGCCAGGGGAGTATGGAGTGTTTGCAGCACCAGCAGGGGAGCAGCACTGCTGGCACCAGCCTTGCTTTGCCTGTCAGGCCTGTGGCCAGGCCCTGATAAACCTCATCTACTTCTACCATGATGGACATCTGTACTGTGGCCGTCATCACGCAGAGTTACTGAGGCCACGCTGCCCGGCTTGTGACCAGGTATAGCTCTGAGGGGAGGGCAACTAGGTGGAAGGTAGTGCGTGTCTGTCCAGGGTCCAGAGTGGCAAGATGTAAGGGAGCACCCTCCTGGGCCCAAGCATCTCCCAGTATCACAAAGTGGGGGACAGCAAAGTCCCTCAAATTTTGTTGGACTCAGAATTTCTCTGGAGAAATACAGATGTTCATCTCAGTCTGCTAAAGTGCCTGATCATGCTAGAAATTCCCTTAATGTTAAGTAGAGCCCTGGGTTAGGGGGTCCAGGCGGCCGCTTGGACTTTGGGCTGAGCCACCTGCTAGCTGGGGGATCATGGCTAAGCCAATCAGCTGTCACTGCGTACCGGAGTGGCTGAGTAGATCAATGGCAATGTCTGTAGACGTATTTTAGCCTTAACTAGATTTAAGGCGTGGTTATTCGGTGAATGAATGAGTGAATGAATGAATGAACCGTTCTCCTCTCCCTTTCCCAGCTGATCTTCTCCCGGCACTGCACAGAGGCCGAGGGACGCCACTGGCATGAGAACCACTTCTGCTGCCAAGACTGCGCCGGGCCCCTGGGCGGGGGACGTTATGCCCTGCCGGGGGGTAGCCCCTGCTGCCCCCGCTGTTACCAGATGCGTTACTCGGGTGCGGGCTGGAGCCCTGCCGAGGCACTGGAAAGGCAGACGTTCCTTGGTAAGGGAGATAGTACAGATCGAAGCGGGAGGAGGCGGTGGCTTGGGCTGGGCTGAGGAGGGGGGTTCTCCCAAGCTGAGACCCTAGCCCCGGTCCCACGCTGTCCCGTCCCTCCAGCAGGCCCTGTTCTCCCACCGCACCCCCCCGACCCGAGCCTTGGGGCCCGCAGCTCTCACCGCGCGTCCCTGGCCGGAGCGCTCCAAGGGCCTCTCAGACCCACCCCGCGCCGCGGTCGGGGCTGCAGAGCGGGACTAGCTCCCAGGAGGGGGGACGCGGCCGCCCTCTGGTGGGCGGAGGCGAGGAGAGGCGGGGGACCCTGGAGAGGACTTTCCGCGGCGGCGCGCAAGGCCCGGGGTGGGGCAGGAGGCTGGGCCTAACCCCCACTAACTTAAGCTGTCCGCCCCGCTAAGCTCTGGGAGAGGGGAGCTTGGGCTCTGAGAGGGGCGTTTCTGACCCGGCCCGGAACAGGGAAGACCGGACCCGACCGGAATGAAGGAAGGCACCGCGCATCGCTAAACGCTGTGACCATCTCTCAAGCAGCCCTTCTCGCTGCTGCCGGTAGTCAGGCGGGGCTGCCTGGATCCAGCCCCGAGCAGGAGAACCGAGTTGGGGACAAAGCAATGGCATCCACAGTGCGGGAGCAAGACCGCCCAGAGACTCCTCAAGATTCCGAGGATGCCCACTGCCCCACCTGCTCTTCTTCCTCTGACTCGGAACCCGAAGACTTTTTCTTAGGCCAGCGCCTTCCCCGGCTCTGGAAGACCCGCGGAAGCTTCCAACAAGGGGACAGCGACATCTCCAAGAAGCATTGCACCATCTGCTAGTGGCGCAGCCCAGAGTGGGCAGGAAGGGATCTGTAAAACAGGAGAACAAAGTTCTCCAGACTGAATGCAATCAGGGGCACGCCCAGGAAAGACGAAATGACAGATTTGGCATGCGCCCTCTTTAGGACGTTCTATGATTTGATGGACACTTGAGGAACTTCATTTCCCAAAGCTACTCTTCCCCTGCTGATCTACCCCTATTCATACCCCGCAGGCCGGGACAGCGTGGTCCCCACCATCTCCCTCCTCAGCCAATTAAGCGATTACTTAGCACGCGTTGACGGTGACCGGCTGGAGAGCCGGAGGTGGGACCTGGAACTGGGGACCGGTAGAGCGGGACTGAGCTCCTCGCCACGCAGTTCGCGGACGCACAGCGCGGGCTGTACAGCTTCTGGAGCTCGGGCCCAGCTAGAGCAGCAGCACCCTCTGCTGGCCAGCAGCCGGCGGAAGTGCCAGACCGGAAGTTGCGTAAGCACCGGGCGCCCATACGGTTAGTCGTGTAAGGCCTGTGTGGAACTTAAAAGGCATTACATGGCTTCCAGCGCCGTTTCCGCGAACGTTGCCGGCTCGGCAAATGAAGCTCCTGAAATTCCAGACAACGTGGGAGATTGGCTTCGGGGTGTCTATCGCTTTGCCACCGATAGAAATGATTTCCGGAGGTAACCGAGCTTGGGGAACTTGGCCCCGCTCTGGCCATCGCGTCCGTGTACACTACTTGTGCGAGGCTGGTGCCTCCGTAGATTTGTTTGTCTTGATTTGTTAATATTACCAACATAGTGGCCTTTTCGGGGCTCTGGCTTTGCTTTGCCTAGCCTTTTGACTAGAATTCCTTTGTGGAAAGTCTGTCACGTGCTTATATTTATAGACATTGTCACCCTGACCTGGGAGACTGGAGAAGAGGCGCTGCCCGCACATAAACAGGTTTTCCGGCCCTAGACGAGTTTTTAGTTGGCCTTTGTGCTCTTACTAGGCACAGAAACAACCTCTACATTTCTGCGTAGGTTTTGAATAACCTGCCATGTAATAACCATGTGTCAATGCTTCAGGAAGCCATTTCCCTCAGTACTTTTATTTAACCAAATGATTCTGTGAACACAAGATTAATAAAGTACATTGTTTTCCTAGGAACTTGATCCTCAATTTGGGACTCTTTGCTGCAGGAGTTTGGCTGGCCAGGAATTTGAGTGACATTGATCTCATGGCACCTCAGCCAGGGGTGTAGCCAAGTAGGTAAGCACTTAATTACAGCCTTGTCTAGAAACTGAGAGAAGGAATAATTAATACCAACTATTCCCTAAGTGTAGGAAAGAGACTGGATGTAAAACCCTTAGCTATTCCTAGTTAAATGTTCCCAGATGTTGCAAGGGATTTAAATATCTTACCAGTTTACTTCCAGTGTCTTTACATTTCTAATGCCACCTGTTGTCCTGTCATCTGATTACAGACAAATGGAATCCTGTGCTGCATCTGAACCTTTCAAAAACAGAGCCTATAATCTGTGACCACAAGATATGGCTTAATGGCAGCTGAAGTTTGATCCTCATGGGCACCTTCCCCTTCTCTACCTGGTTTCATTTTGTTTCATATCTCCTCAGAACTCTGTTCTCTGGTAGCAGTCAGGCTTCAGCTAAAGCATTGCCTCTGGTCTGTAAAGTTCTGTACATAGTTCAGTTCTGTACATAGTTCTGCACAAGTTTTTGCAGAGGGTGATCTTTGCTCCTGAGGAATAACGATGTTGTTTTAATAAATATTTGAAATAAAGACTGCACACAAAGACAGCCATTTTATTCTTTTAATAAGAAACTTCTTACAAAAACAAGGTGTTAAAAAGTCAAGATTACAAAAATCATAAAAACATGATTTATTTTTCACACTTAATAGAGATAGGAACAAGCTCCAAACATGGATTGTTATGGAGTTCTTCATTTTAAAAGAAAAAAAGAAATGGAAACTAACCACCCTACATTGATGTTAACATAGCAATGAAGTTTATTCTTGGGGAATTTGCATTGTTGAATAGTACTGGGGGAAGAAGCCATTTGGTGTTGCATAGCATTTTAGTGCACCAGGTAGGTTCTGCAGGCACCAGAGAGACTTTGTTGCTGGAATAGACTGAGTTCTGGAGGCAGAAAAGGGCACTGATGTGTAGGACTAGGCAAGGTTTAAGTATGTCTGGATAGGGTGGTGCCTGTGGCTCAGTGGGTGGGGTGCTGGCCCCATATACCGAGGGTGGTGAGTTTGAACTCGGTCCTGGCCAGCTAAAATAGCAGTAGCAACTGCAACAAAAAATAGGCATTGTGGCGGGGGCAGGTGCCTATAGTCCAGCTACTCAGGGACTTTAAGAGAATCACTTACACCCAAGAGTTGGAGGTTGCTGTGAGCTATGATGCCACAGCACTCTACCGAGGGGAACACAGTGAAACTGTCTCAAAAAAAAAAAAAAAAGTAGGTCTGGATAGTGGGCACTAAAATGATACTGCTGAGGAAGATGCTTCCTTTATAGCAGAGATTTTCAACTGGTGTGCTACAAAAAAATTTTAAAGATCATTAGTTAAATTATTTTTGAAAGAAGTCAAAAGTGCAGTATGTATATATATATATATGTGTGTGTGTGTGTGTGTGTGTTTTGAGACAGAGTCTCACTATGTCACTCTTAAGTAGACTGCTGTGGTGTCACAGCTCACAGCAACCTCAAACTCTTAGACTTAAGCAATTCTCTTGCCTCAGCCTCCCAAGTAGCTGGGACTACAGGCGCCCACTGTTAACACCTGGCTCTTTTTTTTGTTGCATTTGTCATTGTGGTTTAGCAGGCCCAGGCTGGGTGGCTGGCTCCCCAACCACTGAGCTACGTAGCACCATGCCTCTCTCTCTCTTTTTTTTTTTTTTTAAAAACAATCAACATAATTTAAGTGTGCTATGGAAGTTTATCTGTGGTTTCAAGTGTGCTGTGAGATTAAAAGGTTGAAAAACACTGCTTTAAAAAGGAAATAGATGTTTTCTGACCCTAAAATTCATGGTAGTGCTGGTAAGGGGTTTGGAGTTTTTGGGAATGGAGTATGTAAGGAACAGGCATGGAAAGACTCGTGTAGCCAAAGAATGAGGTGGAGATAGAAATAGATTCCTCACAGCAAATTTCTTCGAGTTGGTTTACTCCAATAGTTTTTTTTTTTTTTTTCCCCCTCGGAGGCACAGTTTTACTCTATTAACCCTGGATGGAGTGCAGTGGCATCAGCAGCAGCATCATAGCTTATTGCAACTTTGGTTGCCTGGGCCCAAATGATCCTCCTGCCTCAGCCTACTGAGTAGCTGGGACTTGGGCTATAGACTCTATACCCAGCTAATTTTTCTATAATAGGGGTCTCACTCTGTTTGTCAGGCTGGTGGTTTATACCACCAGCAATCCTCCTGCCTTGGCCTTCCAAAGTGCTAGGATTACAGGCCTGAGCCACCTTTCTGGGCCAACATTTTAAAAAAATACTGCTTTTGTGTGCCAAGTCTCTTATGGAACTCATGTGGGATTAAAAGACATGAATTGGAAAGAAGGGTCAGTATAAATAGCCTAATTGTTACAGCTGACAGATGTCTCTAGCAATTTGTTTACCAAAGGTAAATAGGACAAAATAGTCTTTCCTGACCTTGCCAGTATAAATCTCATTAAGAAAGTTGTTTGTAAAAAAAAAAAGAAAGTTGTTTGTGAATTAGATTTTCTAACATGTTAAAAAAAACCTCTACCATTCTCTTTTGAGTATTAATCTGATAGATCTTATCTGATAGGGAGCCAAGACACTTTAGCATCTGTCTACGTGAGATCACAGACGATCTGAGAGGTTTATATTTTACTGGATATTAAGATGAAGAAGGATCATACATGAGAGCAAGGCTTAGGTTTGAAGCTATCGGCCCCGAAATGATGACCAAGGAGGAAACTTTTAAGCCATAGCATAGATAGTAAACCCCATCAGATCTGCATCAGACCACTGCTACAAAAAATACCAGCACCTCCTGTCTATAAGAATGAAACTTAGATCCTTAAAATCTGCTACCTGATTTACTCATAATTGTGAGGTTTTATTTGATAATTCCCAAAGTTGAAAAATCAATATACAGCAAAAATTAAGAAATGGCACCTTCCTTGGTTTGGCGCCTGTGGCTCCAGTGACTAACGAGCCAGCTACATACACCTGAGCTGGTGGGTTCAAATCCAGCCCGGGCCAGCCAGACAATGACAGCTGCAACCAAAAATTAGCCGGGTGTTGTGGCTGGCGCCTGTGGTCCCAGCTACTTGGGAGGCAGAGGCAGAGGCAGGAGAATCACTTGAGCCCAGGAGTTGGAGGTTGCTGTAAGCTGTGATGTCACAGTACTCTACCCAGGGTGACAGCTTGAGGTTCTATCTCAAAAAAAAAAAAAAAAAAAAAAGAAAGAAAGAAAGAAAAGAAATGGCACCTTCCAAAAGCTTAATTCAAATTTCACTCAAATTGTAATGTTTTGGCTTCAAGTAATAATGTTTACTGTTGGGCAGCGCCTGTAGTTTAGTGGGTGCTGACCACATACCCTGAGGCTGGCGGGTTTGAATCCAGCCCAGGCCAGCTAAAACAACAATGACAACTACAACAACAACAAAAAAACAGCCAGGCATTGTGGCAGGCACATGTATTCCCAGCTACTTGGGAGGCTGAGGCAGGAGAATCGCTTAAGCCCAAGAGTTTGAGGTTGCTGTGAGCTGTGATGCCACAGTACTCTACCCAGGGCGACAACTTGAGACTCTTGTCTCAAAAAAAAAAAATGTTTACTGTTTGTTGGGTAAAATTTCATTTACTAGCTTAAGTATTCAAAGTGATAAAATTTTTAAATAAGACCACTAAATCTGTAATTTCCAAAAGTTTTGACAAATTTTGTAAATGAAAGTGCCAGCTTTCACCATTGCCAATGCAACAGTCTTCCTAAGGGGAGTTAATTGTACATCCTGTCACTTTTTAGCTCTAGCTAGTTGATATATAGTACTATGAAAATCACTAGTTAGATTTTCATGAAATATGCTGGCGGAAGTATGGAAAGAATCCACAAAAATGACTGCTTGCCCCTGCTATAGTAGTTATGGCGTATTTAAAGCAGTGTGTAAGTTGAACACAAACAAAATGATTAAAGTCATAGCCCTAAATCAAGAAATCTGTTATTAAACTTGTTAGATAAAAACTCAAGAGTCCTATTTAGAAGGTGCTTTTCAGCTTTATAGTGCTGATTTTTAAAAGAATGTGAACTAACAGGGAGATGCATACTTACCAGGTTAAAAAACTAAGTGTCCATGGGAAATTTTGCCTGAAAGATACCTCTTCATCTAACTTGTTGAGTAGCTAGGCTGAGGGACCCAATTATCAAGTGTGCTTTGAATAATGAGCTTTTTAAGCACCTTTTGGTGGGCAGGTCTGTGGCTCAGTGAGTAGGGCGCTGGCCCCATATACCAAGAGTGGTGGGTTTGAACCCGTCCCTGGCCAAACTGCAACAACAAAAAAAATAGCGGGGCATTCTGGTGGGTGTCTGTAGTCCCAGCTACCCGGGAAGCTGAGGCAAGAGAATCACCTAAGCCCAGGAGTTGGAAGTTGCTATGAGCTGTGACGCCACGGCACTCTACCAAGGGCAATAAAGTGAGACTTTGTCCCTAAAAAAATAAGTAAATAAATAAACACCTTTCGGTGACATCTCATTAGTTCAGTGGAAACTTTCAGGCTGGTGTAAAACATAAGCTGTCATAGCCCTCCAGTCTTAGCACCTCCCATAGCCACTCAGCACCTGCCAAGAAAAGGGTATGGAGGCCTAGGACAGGGTCTTTGTGCCTTTCCTTTTGAATCATTTGCCTTTGCGTATTACACAGTGCATTGGCTTGTCTTACGATCTAAAGGTTCACATGTGGGGATTGTTTTTTCCACTGCTTCCTACATTTTTGTGCAAAAGAACTTTAGAACCAATGAAGGTACCACTTCAGAAGGAACCATTTGTGTTTGGCTTCTACTGTATGTTGCCCAGCATTAATTATTGTTTTGATAAAATCTAAAATGCCTTTTCTGAACATTTGTGCTCTCTCAACTAGCTGGAAAAGCAACCCTTCCATAAAATACAATCCCAGATAGGGATAGAGTATACATTTAAGAAGGGGTAGCCTCCCAACCTGATTTGAAAAGGCTCAAATTAATGTTTGGAACAAGAAAAGCATGGTGAAAAATAATGGTGTACACAGTCTGCCTTGAAAAGCAGTTATTTGATGAATAGTCACAAATACAGAATCTGGACATTACAACAAAATTTCAGAATTTGCTGGTAAGAATGATTTGCATTCACACATGACATGAAATGCTGTCTAAAAGCCTGTGATCCCAAATGTCCTTTAAACACTACACAGACCCATTTGCCCCTTGAAATGACAAGGAGGAATCCTTTCCCTTAATCTTTTCTATCCCATGCAAACAATAATTGGATACAAGGCACCAAATTTTATGAATTGTATAAAATTAGTTCACAAAGCTTTCTCAGTAAGTAAAACAAACCTCATTTCTCCCTCCCTTGTTGCCCTCCTACCTCCAACCCCCCACCCCCTCCTCCCCAACCAAGTTTTCATTCTGCACTACTGTTGAACTCTCTAGGGCTTGCACTGGGGCATGCCCCACTGCCAGTTAACCCACCTCACTGGTTCTTCCCTTGTACTTGGATGGAGTTCTAAGCATAGCCAGAGTAGGGAACTCATACAATCACTGACTCTAGAAGCCTTGCCCATTAAAAACAAAAATAAACTCTGCTATTGAGTCCATAGGACACATTAACACTTCTACAGTTTCCAATTTTATTCATGACATTTTAAGAGACCTCTGGAAATTCTTTACATTGTGGCACTGCCCTCCCCCGCTGCCCCCCTCCCCCCCCAGCCTGAGAGGAGCTGGATGAAAGCTGGCAAGAGCTCTGCCCACCATTTAATAGAGCTTCAGTATCTGGCTGCCAAGGGCATTCCTAAATTTTTTTTTTAACACTAGACAGATACTTAGAGGCAACCACAAGTATGAGGGTCAGGTCAGATTGAGGTAAAAAATCCTTTTTGAGGGCCAGGGTGCATTCATTTTGGCTGGCTGTGGCAGCAAGCATACACACCAGCCTGGAAAAGAATTCTTAACTACTTGCCCTGGGAGAGAAGCAGGCCCACTAATTAAGGTTCGGTTAGGAGACCTTGGGTTTGATTTGGTAGCGTCTAAGTCAATGTCTACCTGGTTCTTATCTTCTTTTATTTAGAATGTTTCAATTTAAGGTAAGATGCAACTGAGACATTCATCTCCTCCCAATATGTAAATAAATTAAAGGCAAAGGGACATTTCCCTTATAACAGCCATTGGCTTATGCAGCAGGGAACTCTTTCCTTTAATAAAAATCTCCTTAAATACTAACTTCCTAAGTGTCTAATGCTGCTGCCTCTGGGCACCTGAGGTGTCTGTGACTGCAGTGGGCACCTCCATAAGTGTGTAGCTCAGTGGAGACTCTGATGTTCATTCCTTTTAGCAATTTGATACATGGGCGTTCAGGGAAGTTTAAGCACTTATTTCACAAAGTTCTTAATCTGCTTAATAATCCTTATAATATTTGGTATAAAACTACTTTAAAAATTAAATTTGAAGCTCTTTCAATTTTCTGTTAAATTTTTATTAATAAGTATTCCCTTTCCCCCCCTCCCCAGACAATCTGAGGGGTGAAAGAGATGCTCTCTAGTAGTTCTTTTCTATCTTGTAAGTTATCTTTTTCTAGAATAATAAATATAGGGTTCAAAGAAAGATGAGGCACAATTCATAGTTTCTTTTCCTTTTTACTCTCCTTGTGTTTTTTTCAGTTATGGGGCTTTCCTATTACCACAAAAAGTCATTACCAATCATGCTGACTTATAAACGTGGGTCTCAAGAGTACAGCTTCACATCAGAGCCTCTGGCAACATGGGCAGCTGTGACACTTTAAAACAGTGTCCAGGAGAGGGTGAACCCAGGCAAAGCTTATACAAAGAAGCCTGCAGTAGACAATATAAAATAAACAGCATAAAAAATGCCATACGCTATCGCTTCCAAATAAAAGCTAAATATTACAGAAACCTCACAGTGTTGGAAAAAGCAAGTTTAATTTAAATTATAGTCAACTCCTTCCCTATCAGGGTGAGCCATTTTTTGTCTGAATTTCCTCCATGTCTCAGTGCTGCCTGGTGGGTCCTATGGGAGAGTTCATCTCAGAAGAGGTCAACAGCAAATGTTACAGATCTGTTCAGGAAATGTGGCTCATCAACATTGCTAAAGCTATAACCCTCATTCTTTAGCCTCACTTTCCCCACTTCCCACCCCTCCCCAGACTCCCTTCCACATCTACTCCCTTCAAGTGACAAATATACTTCTACCTGAATTCAAACATTAATATGATATACTCAGTCAAAAGATGAGCATTATTAGTGACAGGTTGAGGCTCACTGCAGCAACCACAGCAATGAGAGTTAGGGTTTGCATTCACTTTCACTGGTGAGTCTAAGTGAACGATTAAGAAGGACAACTTATCCTCAGGGGCAGTGTCTACAAAAAAAAAAAAAAGAAGAAGAAGAAAAGGGGAAACTCAGTACACAATGGTGCCTGATAGGGAACAGGGTTTTTAATGTAAGCAATTTCGTTCTATTTAGAAACTGACCCAATTTAAAAAGAAAGATGTATTTTACTTGAACTGGAGTAAAGGACAGTGCACTCTTGCTTTTTCTGTGATGGATTCAGTATAGAAGGGTAAAGCAAGAGTAGAAATTAACAGATTTGGGAGGAAACAAGCCATAGCCATCAACAATAAATTGTCCAAACATGTAGGGGGTAGATTCCTAAGGAGTTCCCTAGGAAAGCAAAAGCTACCAAATGTGAACATGGATGTTCTAGCTCTCCAGGAGCAGGAAAGAAGCTGTAGGCTAAGAAGCTGCATGCTATACCAAGGTGAGAACAGGTGATATACATTCAAATAAGCCCTGGACCACTGGCTATCCCTGCCTACCCCGGCCTACCTTCAACTGAGTTCTAGAAAGCCTCAGACAGCTGATTAAGGAGCAGTTTAAACCAAACTATGTGCTTGCCCTAGACCTGAACCAGGAACCTGCTAAAGAACTGGGATAGCCAGGAGTGCCCTTAGGCTTGGCATGCAGCAAAGAACATATACTAGTCTACTGCTTCCTTGTATGAACTGTCCCATTTTTAGAATGAAGGAGAATTCATGCCAGTCTCAGAGGTGTGGAATGATTCAATTACAGCAGCAGTCAGGGAGGGTATGACATATGAAAACTGACCCATTTTGTGTGGGGCAATTTGCTCCATGGATTTCACTCTACCCTTCAACTGCTAGCCCCTACAAAAGGAAGCAAGCATGTTTTCAGCCTTTAAGGGCTACTTCCTTTGTGGGAATAAATCCTTATACTTTATCTCCCACCTTGGAATCAATACCATCCAGCAAGCTTCCAGCCAAGGGCCTCTCCTCATGTGCTTTGTCCAGGGCTGCTCACATTGGATAGGTTCTTCTGGTGCTTTAAGGAGGAGGTCCTGATTAGCAGGGAATCACAAAATGGAGAGAAAACATGGCTGCTCTCCTGCATGGGTATGATTAATTTATCCTCTTTCCTTTACCCAGATCTCTCTAGATTCAGAAACAACTGATGAAAGAATCTTAGAAGTTATTCCTTTTGATTTGTTTTTATGAAAAGAGGGAATTTCCAAATCCATTCAAGAGAAAGTAACTATAAAATTTATAGTAATACATGAATTATCCAGCACCTTCTACTCTAGACCCAGTGAGGTAAAGCCAGTAATCTGTTCCTGCAGTAAGCCTTATTTCCTACAAGAGGAAAGATGTATGGACACCAATAGTTTAAAAGCAAGCCAGTCTTTGATACATGCCTCCCATTCAGGGGAATGTCTGTGGTCTGCCTTCATCGTTGTTGCTGGACTGCACCTGAGCTTGGAGTTGGGTTTCTGAGATTCTTGCATTGCCCTGCACTGTTCTTTGAGTGTAAAAAAGGATGTAGGCCTGGGTTTTGCACACTTCCTCGACACTGCATACATTCAGCTTTGAGTCATTGCAGTGGACCCAAAAACCTGGGAAACCAAAGGAGAGAAAGAGAGAAAATGACTACCCAGCTTACATTTCCAAACAGCAGGCAAAATCAAGAGATGAAGAAAGAGACAAGAGGAGTTCTAAATAGAGCCAACTCTTGATTAAGGGTGTAGGGGACAAGTAAATGAAACCAACAGACTTCTCTGTAACCCCTGGCTTTTTTTTTTTTTTAGACGGAGCCTCAAGCTATCCCCCTGGGTAGAGTGCAATGGCATCACAGCTCACAGCAACCTCCAACTCCTGGGCTCAAGCGAGTCTCCTGCCTCAGCCTCCCAAGTAGCTGGGACCACAG